ACCTAAGCCTTGGGAGTTGCGCTTTCTCAGTATTCCTCCTCCTTCTAGTTGCAGGCAACCTCTGGCACTTACTCAATTCAGGACTGAGTGCAGTGCATTTACTGACTGATATAGGATTATATGTAGTATGATATATATATGTATGATATAGGATTACTGACTGATACAGGATTACAGGACTTATGTCACTCTCTACTCCCCTAATTAATAGGTTGAGGTCTCAACCCCCAGTACCTCAGAATATAGCTGCATTTGGAGATATGGTCTTTAAAGAAGTGGTTAAGTAAAAACGAGGCCATTAGTTTGGGCCCTGATTCAGTATGACTAGTGTCCTTATAAGAAGATATTGGGACACAGGGGCCGGGCGCGGTGGCTCACGCCTGTAATCCCAGCACTTTGGGAGGCCGAGGCAGGTGGATCACGAGGTCAAGAGATCGAGACCATCCTGGTCAATATGGTGAAACCCTGTCTCTGCTAAAAATACAAAAGATTAGCTGGGCATGGTGGCGCATGCCTGTAATCCCAGCTACTCGGGAGGCTGAAGCAGGAGAATTGCCTGAACCCAGGAGGCAGAGGTTGTGGTGAGCCGAGATCGCGCCATTGCACTCCAGCCTGGGTAACAAGAGCGAAACTCCGTCTCAAAAAAAAAAAAAAAAAAAAAAAAAAGAAGAAGAAGTTATTGGGACACAGACATGCACAGAGGGACAACCATGTGAAGTTGCAGCAGGAGGGCAGCCATTTGTGAGCCAAGGAGGCAGGCTTCAGAGGAAAGCAACCCTACTAGGACCATGATCTTGGACTTCCAGCCTTCAGGACTATGAGAAAATAAATTCTGGTGGCTTATGCCACCCGGTCTGTGATATTTTGTAATGGCAGCCCAGAAAACTAATATAATAACCTTTTCTCCTATTCAGAATATCAGTGGGGGATACTGAGTATGAGTGAATTTCCAATCTCTCACCTGGCAGCTTTTGCCTTGTGTCAAAGCAGAGTAAGGTCCAGGGCACGAGTAAGTTTCTTCCTACCCTTCCCTTGCTGGTAGGCAGCTTTTATTCCATATCAGAGAAGACTCTGGGGTGTGAGTGGGTTTCATGCTTATCCTTTAGGCTAGTTATTACCTTGTACTCATAGAGTGCTCAGAAATGGATGAACTTCTCTGTGTACTCCTGTATTTTCTCAAACGTGGAAGCCTCAGAACTCCCACCCCACTGAGGAGGGCCTCTTCGGTCTTCTACCTGTCCCCAGTGTTTCTCATGAGTACCCAGTGGAGGCCCATGGAGAAGAACTATGAAGTGGGTGAGGCCTTCTTTCATGTCTGTGTCTCCCAGGGTTCAACACTTTCATACAAGCAGACGTTTAATCTTTAAGAAGTCATGAGTATTTCAGTTATTATCTTTTTACCTGCCTTTATAGCTACCACCTCTTTTTCTCATGCTCTGCCAATGTTAAAATTATTCATGACTTCAAAACTATTCAGTTCAACTAGTTGTCTACTGACCTCATAATTCTGATAAGATTTTTGAAAAATCACTTTTGAGATTACAGTTAACTCTTGAACTATGTGTGTTTGAACTCCATGGAGGCACTTAGAGATGGATTTTCTTCTGCCCCCATCACCCCTGAGACAGCAAGACCAATGCCTCCTCTTCCTCCTCCTCAGCCTACTTGTATTAGTCTATTTTCATATTGCTATGAAGAAATACCCAACACTGGATAATTTATAAAGAAAAAGAGTTTTAATGAAGTCACAGTGCCACATGGCTGGAGAGAGCTCACAATGGTGGAAGGTGAAAGAGGAGCAAAGTCATGTTTTAAATGGAGGCAGGCAAGAGAGCATGTGTAGGGGAACTTCCTTTTATAGAACCATCAGGTCTCATGAGAATTATTCACTATCACAAGAACAGCGTGGGAAAAACTCAGCCCCATGGCTCAATTACCTCCTACCAGGTCACTCCCACAACATATGGGGATTATAGGAATTACAATTCAAGATGAGATTTGGGTGGGGACATAGCCAATCACATTACTACTCAATATGAAGATGATGAAGATAAAGACTTTTATGATGATCTACTTCCACTTAATAGTAAATATATTTCTCTTTTTTATGATTTTCTTGATAACATTTTCTTTTCTCTAGCTACTTTATTATAAGAATACAGTATAAATACATATAACACAGAAAATATCTGTTAATCGACTGTTTATATTATTCATAAGACTTCCAGTCAATAGAAGGCTATTAGTAGTTAAGTTCTGGCTGAGTCAAAAGTGATACATAAATTTTCAACCGCATGGTAGGGTCATCATCCCTAACCCCCTCACTCTTCATGGGTCAACTGTATTTATATATGTATATCTATATCTAATCTATATATTGATATCTATCTATATGTATAAATATATTTTAGTTTGGGTGGCCTCAACTTCCTCTTTTTTCATTGTATATTCTAAGTGGATGCTTGAAGTCATTTCATTTATTCACAATGTCAGAATCAAAATGTGAGAATATGAAATTAATCAAGGCCAAAGTTGTTGTACTCAGAAAAATACTATAAATCACACAAGCACTATGTAAAGCACATTTCAAATGAATCAGATATTTAAAACTTGCTATGATATTCTCCCACCAAAACTTTTAGTGATTGTTTTAATGTTTCATGGGATGGACATTGGAAGGCAATTATTCTCAGTGAATTTAGTAGATAATCAAAATCTAATTGGATACTTCTGTATTTTTAAATCCAATGTTAAACTTTATCTGGAATTCTAACTGTAATTATTCTCCACTAATGTGAGAATAATCTTAGGACTGGAAACCACAAAGTCAATAGAATTGAATATATCACAACCCTATGAGTTAAATTTTCTTTGTCGAAAGATTCCACAAATGTGTTTAAAGTTGCATCTGTAAGCTTAATGATCTTATGTCTGTGCCTCCATGAGGCCAAGTAATATGGTTTGGATCTTTGTCCCCACCCAAATCTCATATTCAGTTATAGTCCCCAGTGTCAGAGGCAGGGCCAAGTGTGAGGTGATTGAATCATGGAGGTGGATCCTTAATGAATGGTTTAGCACCATCTCTTTGATTCTGTTCTCATGAGATATGGTTGCTTAAAAGTGTGTGGCACCTCCCCACTCTCTTTTTTCCTGCTGCCCCTGCCATGTGAAATGCCAGCTCTCCCTTTGCCTTCCACCATGATTGTAAGTTCCCTGAGGTCTCCCCAGAAGCTGATGCCACCATGCTTCCTGTACAGCCTGCAGAACTGTAAACCAATTAAATCTCTTTTCCTTACCAAGTGCCCAGTCTCAGGTATTTCTTTGTAGCACTGTGAGAATGAACTAATACAACAAGTATTGTGGCACTACTGATTAAATGTCCTGGGAATGATGAGAAAGCAAAAGTGGTAGTGATTCATAAGATGGATACCAAGTGGAAGGGCCTGAAAGCCAAACTGAGAGGTTTGGACATGAACAGTTCTTATTGTTTACTGATTGATTGATTTCCTATAAGGGAGTAACATGATACAGAGAATATAAAGACACTACATTTGAGATCTCAAATCCTTGTGACTTGGATTTCAGTCCTGATTTTACTGATATCAAGCACAATGAGGTCAAAAGAGCTAACTCTAGGTCCAGAAAAGACTACTCAGTCTTTTCTAAATCTTTGGTTCTGCCGATTAAGATTTTGTGACTTTGGGTTGTATAAGCCTTGGGAGCTGTAACTTACTTATTAGCTAAATGGCATAGTTGTACCTACATTGCAGCACTCTGGAGAGAGCATAAGATCATATATTCCTATAGTTCCTGGCACTCATTATTAGAGCTCCATAGATAACTGACATTGGGATGATTCCAATTGTAAAAATCATCCTCTCTGAGTCTCAATTTTCTTGTGTGTAAAATGGGATGGTAACACATTTCGTTGAGTCATTGAGCAATTTAAATGAGATGATGTGTATGGAAAACTTTCTAGAATGCAAAATGAAAATTTTTTTTCTTCTTACAAAAGTAGTTATTCAAGGGTTGTTAGCAGCCACCATTAATCACTTCATTATACTATTTTACTTACCTCATATTCAACCGATTATTGAAATGGGGATCCCTGACCTAGGATTATAGGGATGGCCAACATATAACACCTGACACTGAACAGCAAGATGGACAGCAGCTTGTCAGTCACACATTCTGCACTATCATCCAGGGAAGGAGAACACCACGTGGTAGCCCTCATACTTTGGAACAGAGTAAAGTAGCAGGTATTGCAATGTAGAAGGCAAGCTTTGTAGTATCATGAGGCTGTGGTGCTGCTTGGTGCCTGTGGGAGGATGTGATTGGCTCATTTGAATAATTTTGCTGACTGACACAGAATGAAAACCTGCTACTAAGAGATAAGCAGGCACTACTCCTGGTCCCTTTGAAAAGAAAGGTTCTTTGGCAGGGAGTCCTTATCTGCTATTGCAGGGTAGGGAGGAGAGCTTGGGGTTATGCCATCTGAGGCCCTCCCAGTTTCTCCCAGATATCAAGGCAACATATAACATTGGGTTTTAATTTTAGGTCTTCTGTCACACATATTCCAAGGAATTTGTAAGTCTTTAAAATCTTCATTAGCCCTGCAAGGTAGTTGCTATGGTCTGAACAATTGTGTCTCCCCAAAATTCATATGTGGAATTCCTTACCCCCAAGGTAATAGTGTTGGGAGGTAGAGCCTTTTAGTCTCCTGGTTGGAATTAGTGCCCTGATAACATGGACTCCAGAGAGCTGGCTTATTCCTTCCACTATGTGAAGACACAGCAAGAAGCCACTGTCTATGGGGAAATGGAGGCTTACTAGACATGAACTCTGTCAGAGCCTTGATCTTGTACTTCCCAGGCATCGGAACTATAAATGATACATTTCTGCTGTTTATAAACCACCCAGTGTATAGTAATTTGTTCTAGTAGCAGGGACAAATGAAGACAGTGGATATTATTATTCTTCTTCTCTCCATTCTACAGGTGAGGAAACTGAGGAGGAGAGGACAAGCCACATAGCAAGTGGCAGTGCTGGGGATGAGCTCCAGTTTGAGTTCTGGTGAGGTGGCTGGGATCATGCCGGAATCTGGTGGCGTTATGAAGGATGGTGCTGTAGCGGTGTGAGACTCGAGGTAAGAGACCCGTCAGAGCTGTCCCAGGGTGCCGGGTGTGGCAGTTAATGCCCACCAGACATCATGAACTCAAACTCCCAGGGTCGACACAGCACATGTAAACAAATACACATAGACAGGAAGGCAAGGCTCAGGACTGAGGACAAGCTAGGGGGCAGCGGGACCACAGTGAACCCATGGTGCATGCTCTTTCCCAGAGGGAGTTCGCTGCTCACATCCAGCTGACGGTGCCGGATGTGAAAGAAAGACGGGCATCACAGTTCTTGTGATGTTTGGAGAAGAGCTGGAACTCTGAACTTAAATGTGAAGTAGCTATTTTAAAGCCTGGCTGAAATTATAATTAAAAAAATATATGATATAGACCGCATTGTGAGCATGAAGTAAAACATGTCTGTAGGTCGGGCCTGGCTCTCAGGCTCTGAGCATCAGGGGTGGGGATGGAGGCAGACGGACTGCCTGAGGCACTGCTGCAGCTGTGGACCTGGAATTTAACCAGATGTGTTTTTGGCCGGAGGGCTAAGTGGCAGACTCCAGAGCATTTTTCTTTCAGCATGAGACCATTCATTATGTACACTCCAGGCTTCAAGCTTCACCAGTCTGGAGGTACCTCTGTGTTCACACCGATATCAATACCTGACTTGCTTCATATTTCTTCCTGCCTCCACCAGCCTCCACCCAGGGAAGGTGTGCTTCTCAGTAAGTCAGTTTGAGAGAAGCAGTGTAGTGTAGTGGATAAAAATCTGGATTTACATTTTGATCTTCCATTTACTACCTTTGTGACCTAGGGGGTGTTGCTTCCCTTCTCTGTTCCAATTATTTATCCATTAAAAAGAAATAATAATTTGGCCTAGCTTCAGGGGTGGCTGTAAGAATTGTAAAAGATAATAAACATTGAGGACTTGAAAAAAATCTCTGCATATAATAAACATTCTATAAATGTCAGGTATCATCATTCACACTTCTTTCTTCCTGATGCCTCAGTTTGGAGCGTCTATCTGCCGCCTCTGATGCATTCGCTCCTGGGAAAATTCACTTGGTGTTGCCCAGAGCCCTCAGGATGCCAAGGCTGCATAATACATATTCATAATTTCATAATATTCATTGAGAAAATATTTATTGAGAGCCCACTGCATGCCAGGTTTTGTTCTAGGCATTGGGGAATCATCAGCTGCAAACAACGTAGACAAAGAGTTGATATTGGACTGCACAAGACTGATGATGATGGAGCCACATAAATGAATTAAATAATTTCTATATGCGTAATGCTGTGAAGATAAAGAAAATGACAGTGTGATAACAAATGAATAGACAGTGACTTTAGGTGCTCAAGAAAAGCCTCTGTGAAAAGGTGTCATTTGACCGGAGGTTTGAATAATAAGAAAGCATCTTTTCATTTAAAGATGGGGGAAGAGTTTTCCAGAATAATGGAACAGCAGGTGCCAAGGCCATGAGTCAGGAATGAGCTTGGCTTGTCTAGGGAACAAGCAAAATATTACAGTGACTGCAGCACAGAGAATGAAAGGATAAGGGTCAGGGAGGCGCCCCTGAGTCAGCCAGCAGGCAAAGGTTTTGGTTATATCTTAAGTCCTAAGTTGAAGATTTGAAGCAAGGGAAGGAGAACATCTGATTTACATTTTATATTTATATTTTGAATCGATCACTCTTGCTGCAGTGGAGGATGGATCTGCCAACAGGAGGGCAAGCAGAGAGGCTGTCAGCTCCCATGTGGACTACTGTGGAATAGGCAGTTGGGGAGGCAGGGAAAATGGCTCTTCTCCAAATTATTTTTTCATTCATTGATGTATTCATCCGACAGTTCTTTGCTGTGTGTCTTAGTGTGTGCCTATGGATAATTTTTTGTCAGATTCGATTCACAATGTGTCAGCAGTGTGTTAGGCGCTGGGAATACATTGACCCATGACATTGTCATGAGTCTTTGAGCTCTGCTGTCTTCGAGCTTTCAATCAAACGTCCCTCTTGGTTTCCTGGGTCCTGTGGCAGCTGTCTGTACATCATCTTTCATGAACATTAATCCTATAGTGGCTTATCCCAATCACACTCACTTTCATGAGGGCTCACAGCCCGGCTGGTGGAGGGGTTGAGGAGCCTCCATCTTAGTTGTCCTGCTCTTTTCTTTTCTCTCTTCTCTTTAAACACCTTCCCTGTAACTCCCCACCTCCCTCAGTAAAATACTAGGAATGTAAATGGGGAATGCAAAAGGGATATGGAGAAGGAAAGAGGCACCTGAACGTCTCTGCCAAATGCACAGAATCTCACTGAAGTCTGTGTACATATTTGTGATCATCCACTATGGGGAAGGGGGTGAATGTGTGGGGGATTGGGGGTGAGTATACCTCTAGGTGACCCTTGAGAGAATAAAGGCAATCTTTATTTCTGATCTGTTTTCAATAAGGTCAGACTTTTATTATTCATTTATTTATTTTGAGACAGAGTCTCGCTCCGTCGCCAGGTGCCAGGCTGGAGTGCAGCGGCACGATCTCAGCTCACTGCAACCTCCACCTCCTGGGTTCAAGCAATTCTCTTGCCTCAGCCTTTTGAGAAGCTGGGACTACAGGTGTGCGCCACCACGCCCAGCTAATTTTTGTATTTTTAGTAGAGATGGGATTTCACCATGTTGGCCAGGATGGTCTCGATCTCTTGACCTCGTGTTCCACCCACCTCAGCCTCCCAAAGTGCTGGGATTACAGGCGTGAGCCACTGCGCCCAGCCTAGACTTTTTTTTTAAGATAATTTTTTAAGGTAGTGAAACAATATTACTTAGTATGGATAATGTTTTGTCAGATTCAATTCCTTACCACAGGCTATTGGGTGAAATCCTGGGTGTAACCAAATTTCTCAAATAGTAAAGAAAATGGGCAATCCATTTTCTTCAAATGAAACCAAGTACCGTCTTTCACTGTCCGATAGTCAGAGGCTGGTGAAAAGATCTTGCAAGAGAGTCTGACAGGAGGGCTAAACTCCTCTACCACTTCTTTACAGAAAAGAAATGTCAGTCGTACTTTTTAAAATAGAGAGAAGGGCTTCAAATTACAAAGAAGTAACAAGGCGTGGAACAATGACTTCATAGGTTCCATGTGTCAGGGACCTACTCATTTGGAGTGAACAAAGATAAAATAATTCTGCTAAAGAACAAGTGAAAAAATCAGTTTAAATCAATTTCAGAAAAAAAAATTACATAGCAATGGAATCCCTTTTTCAGAATATTATTCAGAGATCCAATATGCAAAAGAGAGAAAATAGAAACTGTTTTAAAAGCGGAAGGGTAATTAGGGCTTATCTTGTTGTTATCCAGCTCATCTCAAGTAAGTCTTCGAGATTTAGTTTTTTGAGGAACATAGTTAAGACTCTCTTGATTTAAACCATGATAGAGAGCAAAGATTGTGTAAATCCTTTTTTTTCCCTAAGCTAACTTTTGTTTAGAATATATCATATGGTAAGACTGTTTGCTAACAAAGCTATTTACATACACAGCATTATGTTTGATCCCATGAAATGAGTGTTGTTATACCTGTTGCTGAGATGAGGAAACTGAGGTGCTGAGTGGCTAGATCATGTGCCCAAAGCTACGCAGTTGCTAAGGGCAAATCTTGGTGACACACTCAGAGCTGCCACCAAAGTTCTTGCTTTTAACTAATAAACTCCACTTTCTCTCCTTGACGGGCTCTTCAATTCTTACCAAAAGTAGAAGGGTTTCAAGGAATACTTACAGAAAGAGACAGGGAAAATTAAAAGGAGGAAGAGAGTTATGTGGAGGAGGCAGAGGCAGAGGGAAGAGTAGGACTTAAGCTAGTGACAAAGAGGAAATTAGTGTAAAGTGATAAAAACCCAAGGAACCAAATGCTAAGAAAGGAAACTCCATGGAAAATCCAAAGAAAGATAATATCATGAGGAGAGGAGAGAAGAGAAGAAAGAAGTGGGCTCAGATGGAAAGTCACTGCTTACGAGAGACCAAAATGTCAAGATTTCAACGGGGACCAGCCGCCCTGGTTTCTATTTTGATGTGATTACTTAGTCATTTAAAGTCAGGTTAATGTCCACCAACAACAGATGAGGTCAGGACACAGGAACTCTGCAGCTCACTGGAACTGGACAGTGTTTTGGGGCACCCAGCTCACAAGGCCACACTGTGGCCTACCCCTGGATGGTGGCTTTTTATGCCATCAAATGATCATTTCCCCCTCATTGACTGAAGTTTTAGCTAGGTTGCTAAAATGACAGTCCAGGTTGGAGTCCATGAACCAACAGTTATCAGACCCAAGGGACAAGGTAGAAGCCAAGAATCTGGCTAAGGGATGTTTCGTTTGCCAAAAGAAAAAAACAGAGAATAGAAACCAGTAAGCAAGCTGTTGGTATATATGTGTTGACTGGCCTCTGCGACTGGTTAGCCCATTTGTGTGGGATCAGTTATCAAGAAGAGTGGTGTTAAGACCATGCACCTCCACTGCCCAAGTTTTGGGTGGAACTGATGACATAGCTCCAACTGCTGTTACAGGCTAAGTGAGTGCCTGCTGGATGGAGGCACCTGCCCAAGTGATGAAGGACAGGTTACTTTGTCATCCTCTGCCTCAGCTCACCTCTCTGGAACACCCCAATCATATTTACTCCTTTACTTAGTTTTTATTAGATAAGGGATGTGGAGTCATGAGGCAAGAGGGTTGGAGAGCATGCTGAGTCTTCTGGGAAGGAAAGGACAGACACATTCTTTAAAGACCACTCTTTTTTTTTGAGACAGAGTTTCGCTCTTGTTACCCAGGCTGGAGTGCAGTGGCCCAATCTCAGCTCACCACAACCTCCGCCTCCTGGGTTCAAGGAATTCTCCTGCCTCAGCCTCCTGAGTAGCTGGGACTACAGGCATGCACCACCATGCCCAGCTAATTTTTGTATTTTTAGTGGAGGTGGGGTTTCACCATGTTGACCAGGATGGTAAAGACCACTCTTGAAAGGACAGGAATATTCTTTAAAGATGAGAGAAGGCAATT